TGAACTAATAAGCATGTTTAGAAATGTTTAGTTTTGTAGTTTTTTTTTCAAGATACTGTGCTAGAAGTTTTATCTGATTTAGATAGACTGAAAATTGTGATAGGTTGTTGCTGGGTCCAAAAGCTATATGTTACAAGATTATAAGATTATTGCCTTGAATGTTATATTGCCACAAATAAGAATGTTTGTAATTTACAACTGGAAACTCGTTATTGGGTTTAATAACTTAAAGACAATTATGGTAGGATACATGTTGGAAATACATACCTTTGAGGTTCTTATATCTATTTTAAGAAATTGAATATTGGGGATAATGATGAATTCTTCATAGTGATTCCCCCTCTGTATATTTACATGATTACAATAAATTTGAATGTTGTAAAATCTCAACCAGGTGAGGTTTATTTGTTCTTAGGTTTATTCCTTTTTTTTTAAAACAAGATTGCTGACGTGATCTTGTCTCTGAGTTGTTTTAGCTAAATGATTCAATCTTTTCCCCTGTGTTGATCTTTCAGGTTGGACAATATTGACTTTCTACTTTCTTTTTCCAGGTTGAATTGACCAAAGCAATGGTGATGGAGAAGCCTAGTCCCCTGCTGGTCGGGCGGGAATTTGTGAGACAGTATTATACACTGCTGAACCAGGCCCCAGACATGCTACATAGGTAAGATATATTTCTCCTGCATTATCCAATGCTGCTTTTTAGCATGTGGGTACTTATCCTTGAGGTACTCTCATTCATCATGTGCCTTGTGTAGGGCTGTTGTATCATATAGTTCTTTGTACATAAGTACCAATAAATAATGGCTGTTAAAATTATGTAAGAATTTTAAAGAGAATATGTAACTATTATTTTAAAAGTTAGACTGAAGTTACCTAAACTTACATATTATCAGAAAATAACACCCGAAAATATAAAGGTATAATCATGTATTATTTGCTGAGAATGTGCTGAAGAAGATCCATGACTATTCCTGTAATAATATACTTTTGTGTGGATATACTTTTAAAAACTGGAGCACATTTTTAGTAGAAATGATGCATGCTTACTGTTAGAACAAAGATGTATAAGACAATTTATGGAAGTATGTAGTAATACTGCACTAAAAATTTTTCTGTGTGTATGCAAACATTTTTAATATACTTTTAGCTTTTTTTTTTTTTGAACTTGATTTGGGGTCGTACATGGATCACATTCATTTCAGTGGCCACCAAATCTCTTATTTTAGGGAGATGTATCAAACTTTTCTCTCCTAATGATGGGTATATAGATTGCTTTCACTGTTTGCTTTTTACAAAAAGTGTTGCATTATACAAAATTCTATTAATGTGGATTTGTTAGAATAGAAGTTTCAAAATGCAGATTTGCTAGAACAGATTATTTTTTCCTTTATGTTTAGATCAGCTTGCATATTGGATGCCACATGGTTATTAAGTGTGTAAAGGAAAATTTATAAATTTGTTTTTAGTACAGGATTTGGCATTGCTCTGAAGATGGAAAATATCTTTTTTTAAAGGCTTTATAATTCCAAAACACTTTTATCCATTTTTTCTTGGTCCTTATAAAATCCTTGTAGTAAGGCATTGTAGGATTCTTAACCTCATTTTGCAGGTAAAGAAATTCGGGTTGAAACTTTGATAGTATGCATTTACATGACTGTTAGGATAGGTCTTTTATCCTTTTTTCCTTTCCCCTCTTTTTTTTGTAGTGTTTTATGTCAAAGTTTAAAAGTTGGATATGAATTTGAAGTTTAAAAGGAGCAAGAGTTGATAGAAACTAACCAAATACACTAATATATTTCTTGTCAATATTGTTATTTATTGATTTTAAGACATCCCCCCACATTTCCTCTTTTAGGTGCATGTTAGGGCCAATGAAAAGTGGTTTGGCCAGTAGTGAACTGATTCTCTAGCTAGTTTGCATCTTTTTGATAAACTTTAAAAGTAGAAAGGCTAACTTGGGGGGTTCTTGTGGGCCCAGATCTGTCCTCTTTTTGCGTGTGAGGGATATAGAATAATATGTACTGGCTCATGTGTGAAAAAATGTTTCTTTGGAAGACAAATGTCAAGAAATCCCAATAGTGGTTATCTCTGGGATAGAGCATTTTGGCGTGTGTGTTTTTTTCCTGTTGGAGTATTTACTATTGTAATGGAAACGGTGCAGTTGAGGGTATAGGGGAATGAAAGCTATAGGGAATTGAAGTCTGAAGTTCTTACTGTATCAGCAGAAATTGTTAACACATTAACTGCTAAGAGAATTGTATTTAACTCACTCTAGTTTTGACCCTGGGACCACGTGAAGCATATATAAAATTTTACTTGTTGATGTTCTTATTGTTACAATTAATATTGACAGTTCTTTTTTTGTTTGTTTTTGAGACAGAGTCTTGCTTTGTTGCCCAGGCTAGAGTGAGTGCCGTGGTGTCAGCCTAGCTCACAGCAACCTCAAACTCCTGGGCTCAAGCAATCCTTCTGCCTCAGCCTCCCAAGTAGCTGGGACTACAGGCATGCGCCACCATGCCCGGCTAATTTTTTCTATATATTTTTACTTGGCCAATTAATTTCTTTCTATTTATAGTAGAGACGGGTCTCGCTCTTGCTCAGGCTGCTTTTGAACTCCTGACCTTGAACAATCCACCCACCTCAGCCTCCCAGAGTGCTAGGATTACAGGCGTGAGCCACCGCGCCCGGCCATTGACAATTTAATTCTAAAAGTGTGGATTAAATGAATAGAAGTTAATACATTTCGTTTTTCTATTTATGTTTACCTCTAAATCACACTTGAAGTTTTTATTCTATTTTGGTAACAAAATATTGTGGCCCCAAAGAAAAGTTTCTGGTTTTTTTGTGTGGCAGTCAATGTGTTAAACTACTACACCAGTAGCAGGAGCTACTGGTTGTTTAATGAGAACTGCTCATAGGCATTCTCAGATATAAAAAGATTCTCCCAGTCCATGGAGAATATAGCTGTCCTAGCATAAATGCCTGTTTTCTTCTTGAGTAAAAACAGGAGCTTGTGTTTAATTTTAAGTGACTTTCCTAACACAAACTACAAGATTCTAACATGATCAGCCTACTCCGATTTTGTGATTTGTTTTTGGAATCACAATTTTGGAATTGGTGATTTGTTTAAAAAAAAAAAGTGTTCTGCTTCATTGACTAAATCCATTCCATTCAGCAGTTGATGTAGTGGCATGTAGGATGTAGGGAATAATGGATAGATGATTGCATAAAAGGATGAAAAAGAAAACACATTCCTACCTTCAAGCGTCTGCCAGGGAGGTAGATAAGGTACCAAATGGAAAAATAAATACCTGGTCTTAGGATACTTGAAGATGACAAGTAAATTATATTTCTGCTGAACAGATTTTATGGAAAGAACTCTTCTTATGTCCATGGGGGATTGGATTCAAATGGAAAGCCCGCTGATGCAGTCTACGGACAGAAAGTAAGCATACCATGCTTTATTTCCACTGTTAAGCTGGTAGAAAATAACCCATAAAATCAAGGTGGATACATGTTTCATAGATGGTTGATATTTGTTCAGATTTCTCAACTTCTTAGAAGTTTGGGCTAGTATTTAATTACTATTTGGTTAATATATTTGAAATACTTATATAATGTTACATTTGTTCATTTTGTATGATATATTCTGAAGTTTTTGTGTGTTTAAAGATAATTGGCATTAGCATGGGGATTATCTTTTTTAAACTTTTAAAAAAGTATAGAAGACTGAAACAGGATCTGCACCTCTCACCACTCATAAAAATTAATTCACGATGGATAAGAGACTTAAAACTAAGGCATGAAACTGTAAGAGTTCTAGAAGAAAATGTTGGAAAAACTCTTAGGGACATCTGCCTAGGCAAATAATTTATGAAGAAGATCCCAAAGGCAATCACATCAACAAGAAAAATAAATAAATGGGAGCTGATCAAATTAAAAGGCTTCTTTACAGCCAGGGAAACAGACACTACAGTGAATAGACAACCTACATAATAGAGGAAAATATTTGAATGCTGTGTGTCTGCTAAAGGGCTGATAACCAGAATAGATTAACCAGAATAGATAACCAAAGAACTCAAGCAAATCAGCAAGTAAAAAAACAAACAGCCCCATTAAAAAATTAAAAAGGGGGCAAAGGACATGAACAAACATTTCAAAAGAAGATAGACAAATGGTCAAGAAACATGAAAAAGGCTCAATGTCTCTAATCCTCAGGGAAGTGCAAATCAAAACAACAATGAGATATCATCTAATTCCAGTGAGAATGGCTTCTATCAAAAAACCCCCAAACAATATGCTGGCGTGGATGCAGAGAGATAGGAATACTTACAGACTATTGGTGGGACTGCAAACTACTAGTACAACCTCTGTGGCAAACAGTATGGAGATAACTCAAAGAACTAAAAGTAGTACCATTTGATCTAGCAATCCCACTACCAGATATTTACCCAGAGGAAAAAAAGGATATTTTATAAAAATGTCACCTGCACCTGAATGTTTATAGCAGCACAATTCACAATTGCAAAAATGTGGAAACAACCCAAGTGCCCATCAATACATGAGTGAATTAATAAAGGTTGGTGTATATATACCGGAGTTCTGCTCAGCCATAAAAAATTGGTGAACTAATACCTGTTGTATTAACCTAGATGGAACTGGACATCATTCTTCTAAGCGAAGTACCACAAGAATGGAAAAACAAACACATATACTCACTATTAAATTGGACCTAATTGAAAAACACTTATGTGCACATATGGAAATAAAACTCATCGGAAATCAAGCAAGTGGGAGGAATGAGGAGATGAGTAAATTCACACCTAACGGGTACAGTGCACACTATCTGGGTTGATAGGCACACATAATTTTGACTCTAAGTGTACAAAAGCAATTTATGTAACCAAAACATTTGTACCCCCCTAATACTCTAAAATAAAATTTAAAAAACATAGTAATAAGAAATGGCAACAGTGTGCTGAAAGTTTAGGCACATACTTTAACTGCATTGCTTCTTGTTTGAGATATAATAAACTATACTTTTGATTTAAAAAAGTGTGTTAATTTAGGATAGTTATCTTAAGAGACTCTAGTGTGGCTGCTGGGAATAGAGTAGAAAGACAAAATAGAATCTGTGTATTTTGTAATTTAAACATGCACATTGTCTTCACCTGTTCTGTGCTAGAAGGTTTAAGGTGGAGATGTGTAAATTTTTAGGCATTAACTCTTGCCTTGGTTTCTTAGGAAATCCATAGGAAAGTGATGTCACAAAACTTCACCAACTGCCACACCAAGATTCGCCATGTTGATGCTCATGCCACTCTGAGATGATTGTTGGTGGTCCAGGTGATGGGGCTTCTCTCTAATACAACCAGGCTTTGAGGAGATTCATGCAGACGTTTGTCCTTGCTCCTGAGGTATGTGTAGGAATGATTTGTTCTATAGTGTCAGATGTATATAAAAAAGAGACAATGAAAGGTAATGCTGCATATCTTAAACTTTTTTGAAATTTAAACTTCTAGAAAAGTTGCAAGAATAGTACAATAACTTACCCTCACTTACAGCTACTGTCAACAACTTGCCCTAATTCTTTATTTACCTATCATTTTTTTTTGTTTTGTTTTAGACCATTTGAAAATAAGCTGGGAAATCATGTCCAGTCATCCTCAAATACTTCAGTAGGCATTTATAGTACTTTTTCTCCTGGTCCAAGATTCAGTCCACAGTTAGACATTGCATTTAGCTATCATGTCTCTCTAGTCTCCTTTATCTACAGTAGTCCTTAATCTTTCATTTTTCATGGCATTGACATTTTTGAAGAGCATAGTCAAGTTACTATGTAAAATGTTTCATACATAAGTATCTTTCAGTGCCTTACATTACATTAGAGATGCATGTGATGTCATTTAGACCTATTATTAGTGATGTTAACTTTGATTATTTAGTTAAAGTGATGTTCATGAAGTTTTCTTATGTAAAGTTAATTTTTTCTTTTTTTGATTTTAAGTAAATTATGGGAGATTCTTTGAGACTGTGCAGATATCCTGTTCTTCATCAAGTTTTATGCATTAGTTTAGTATTCATTGTTGATTCTTGGCTGGAACCAACTGCTACTTTGGTAGCAAATGGAGATTGTTTAATCCCATCACTATACTTAATTGGCATTCTAGTATAAAGAAATTTCTCTCCTATCTTATCTTTCATAGAGTCTTAGTACATCTAATTGATTATAATCCATTACTAACTGTATAACATGTGAAATGTCTACATCTGGTCAGTGTAAACAACCTCAAGCTGCCTTTTGTGTCCTTTTTTTTTTTGAACACTTTGTAACTGTGTCCCAGGCTCATTTATAGGTCCTTGCTCGCCTCAATTCTGGAATCAGCTGTTCCTTCAAGGAGGCCTGGTTCTTTTTAGTTATTCTTATCATGGAAGGCCACAAGTTTATGTTGAATAACTGCATTTGTGCCTTTTTCCAGATGGGTCCAGACTAAACAAGTCAGAAACCTATCTACTTAAGCATAAAAAAGTGGTCAATAAGAACTTGCTGAATAATTGTTTTTTTGTCATTAATCTCAAAATAGTTTTTAGGATAGTGAACCTAAAACCCTTATTTTTTATTATTTGAATATAAATAGCTTTCTATTTGAAAAACTATATGAAGTCATTATAGTAATGATTCCTAGAAGAGGCTTAAAGTGTAAAGATTCACTCAACTCCTGTAGTCCCAGCGACTGAGGCAAGAGGATTACTTGAGGCCAGGAGTTCCAACACCAGCCTGGGCAAAATATTGGGCCCTACCCTCTGTAGTCAGGATGAAAAAATACAGCCGAGCATGGGGCATATGCCTATAGTCTGGCTACTCAGGAGGCTGAAGCAGGAATTGCCTGAGTCCAGATTTGGGGTACAGTGAGCAATGATTATGACGCTGTACTTGAGCCTCAGCGACAATGATCTCCTTAAAAAAAGGAAAAAAAAAAAGGCTGGTAGATTACAGATATGCAAAGATGCAAAGAATCACCTGGAGTATGATTGTCAATTTTAGGTTAATTATAGTTCCTCTTTTTCTTTAAACGTCTCATTTATTACAAACGAATTGAGTATATGTTGATATCACTTTTTTTTTTTTTTTTTTTTTGAGACAGAGTCTCACTTGTTGCCAGGCTAGAGTGAGTGCCGTGGCGTCAGCCTAGCTCACAGCACCTCAAACTCCTGGCTCAGCGATCCTCCTGCCTCAGCCTCCCGAGTAGCTGGGACTACAGGCATGGCCACCATGCCGGCTAATTTTTTTTCTATTATATATTAGTTGCCAATTAATTTCTTTCATTTATAGTAGAGACGAGTCGCCTCTTGCTCAGGCTGGTTCGAACTCCTGACCTTGAGCAATCCGCCCGTCTCGGCCTCCCAGAGAGCTAGGATTTACAGGCGTGAGCCACACGCCCGGCCTGATATCACTCTTTTTATTGATAGAAACAGCCTTAGAAATTGAAAATGTAAATGACATAGTTGGATTGGACTATTATGTCTTATACTAGTGTGAGCAGACTTTTCAGCTACACTATTTCTTGAGTACTTGTGTTACATTCTTTGATACATATTTAGGAATTTAATATCTGCTGAAGTTAGGAGTATGATTGTTTCCTGATGATTTGGGTGTGGCTGTGGCTTTTATATACTTATGGTGGGATAAATATTTTCAGGAAACAAAATATATGGAGTATAGTCTTTTTACAGCCATGTTGTAGAGCAGGGCTTTCATTTGGCACTGTTGATGTTTGGGTCCACCTATTTTTGTAGTGGTGGCTTGTCTTTTCATTGTGGATATTAAGTAGCATCTCTACCTCAGTTGTTGTCATTGCACTCCCTGTTGTGAAAACTGAAATGTTTCAGTCTTTGCCAAAAGTTTCTTGGTGGCAGACTTGGCCACAGTTGAGACTGGTGTAATTGGCTTTTTTTAACTGTTGAGTAAATGAAAACTTTTTGTTGGCATTGCAGGGCTCTGTTGCAAATAAGTTCTATGTTCACAATGATATCTTCAGCATACCAAGATGTCTTGGTGCTTGTCACTGAGCCTCAGGAGTAAGTTGTGAAACCATGTAAGTTGTCTAATTTTCCCGATGGATCAGACTGACCTTAAGAGACTATGGGTTTCTTTATGTTGTATTATAATCTGTGTTCATTAATAACCATTAATAATAATTCCCAAGACATGAAGGGTCTGGGTTTTACCCTACTTGAAGTTAAACAGGTTAGCTTACTTCATGGTTGTTTATAGAAGACATAATTTTAGGTCGGAAGGGGACATATTATTAAAGCAACATAGTAGCATTTGCTACAGTTACTACAGATACCATGGAGAAGGACAGGATGGTTACTTGTATTGCTATAGATTGTGTCAAAAATGTGGAACCCACTGAGTTTGGGAACCAAATCTTTTATTATATAATGGGCACGAACATGCCTACCCTTTGCTCTGGAGGAAGACGTTCTTTCCAAAGTGTTTGTTATACAGATGTTTTTGAAAGATAATCTGGAGAGAAGGGTAGATGTGAAAGATGTACAGAAACACAGAGACCTATGGAGAATTTTCTTCAAACTGGTACTATTTGAGTGTTTTCTGTGTGGCTGAGACTGTTCTTAGCACTTTATATGCACTGTGTAATACGCAGCCTTATACATGGTATTAGGTATATTGTCCCTATTTAATGATTATAGCACTGCAGTGCAATAATTTGCCAATAATACAGCTAGTAAAGTGGAGAGCCTGCATTGATTACTGCCTAATGTAAAGTAATTTGCTGGTGTCATGTAGCTAGCAAAGGTGTAGAAGCCTGCATTAGGTTACTGGAACTATGACCTCAGACACATGTTCTTAACCAAAACTAGATAGATAGCCTTAGTTTTCCTTAAAGTCTATGCCATGATTTTATGAAACTGCTTTTGCTTCCTTTACTTTATTTATATGTTTTTTTTGTTCTTTTGATTATAGTAAACGGTGTAAATGAATATATTTGTGAATTCAGTAAGCACAAATAACTTTAATAGCTTTTCTTTACTTAGAATCTGGAGGAAGAAGTAGAGGAACCTGAAGAAAGACAGCAGACGCCTGAGGTGGTTCCTGATGATTCTGGAACTTTCTATGATCAGACTGTTGTCAGGTAAGGAAAATTTTGTTCCTATAACCAGGGCTGCATAAGAATTTACATTGTATACGCTTTCTCTTTGTGGGTGGGCAGTCATATGTTCTCAGAATTATTTCAGAAAATAATTAATTTCTCAGAAGAAATGTTTTGGCAACTTTGAGCAAAAATATATAATTTAATAATAGATTGTACTATGAGGACTATTTAAATAGTATCTATCAGTTGCATTCTGGTTTAGTTTCTTCTTGGTGCTAAGTGAAAAAATTCTGGATTTTCTATGAAGAGTTTAATATATCAAGGTATCACATTAAGTGCTTTGGGAGAATATAAAGTGGATAAGAACTTTCACCTAGTGAGACATCAGGCATAACGAATGTCTTTTTTCCCCCCAGAATTTCTATGTGTTTTTATTATATGTGTGGGTATGGTAAAAACCACATACTATAAAATTTACCTATCTTAACCATTTTTAAGTCTACAGTAAGTACTATATACATATGGTTGTACAACAGATCTCTAGAACTTTTCATTTTGCAAAACAAACTAGCCATCGAACAGCAGCTTCCTTTTCCTTGCTTCCTAGCCTGTTAAGAGAGTTTTTATGTGTGCTAAGTGAATTATAATAGTTGTGGGATTCTAGCTGAAGGAGAAATAATGTTCATTTTGATCCTTATCAGAATTTATCAAGTAGATTCTAATTAAGTCATTGAGTATTTTTTTAATTGCTTTTTTAAATGCAGATATATAATTCTTAGATCTTTTCTTGGAGAGAGGGAGCTACTTTTATGTTCAGGTCTCTGGTTAATAAATGGTTGGGAATTTCTTGTAAAATGAATGGAGACAAAATGATATTTCTCAAATTTTCCTATGAAAGTAATGACATGGAAGAACATTTAGAGGAGCCTGTTGCTGAACCAGAGCCTGATCCTGAACCAGAACCAGAGCAAGCAAGAATGGAAAAACAAACACATATACTCACTATTAAATTGGA